TAATTTGCTGTATCTATGTAAATATGTTATAATATATATTTACATTCAGCAATATTTTTGGTGAATTTATTTAAAAAATGTGTATTTCATAGTAAATTTACTTATTCATTGTAAATTTATCTTTTAAAATCGCCAACTTCTTATAATATTACTATAGAGTAACAACAAATTAAATTATTCGGTGGTAAATTTAATAAAACATGTTTTTATAGTTATAATATTTATTATAAATATTAATTAAGTTAAAAGTCACAAAATATACCTTATGATACCCATTGCCCGTCTCCTCTTGTCTAGAAGAACCTTACTGGAATTCTGCGCCTAACCAAAATAGGAACAAAATTGTCATTAGATACAAAAAAAAACATGCAAAAAAAGGTTTCTAATCAAGACAGTCACCGCGACCTTACAGATCAATTGTGTACCCTTTTCCCTTAATTGAGTTACAACTCATCATACTGTCTCAGGGCTTGACAAAAGCCAGTATCGGTGAATATCGGTAAAAGCCAGTGAGACGATTTGACAGAGATTAGTTCTCCATCTCTCATCAAGTTTATGACACGAATGGTTGTCGTCTAGGCAGGGGCGCCGACTTTTATGAAACCTCGTGGGTGCTCATCAAATATGAGTAAATGTAACCAATTTCCATATTGTTACATTTGTCGTATTTATTACACTTTTTTACATATGTAACATACATAACAATATTAGAAAAATACCATATCAATTTGTCATTTTTACAATTTTATTGAGTATAATTTGAGTTATACAGAAATATTTTTTTTTAGTACAGGTACCAATTTGTGAAAATATTAATTTTACCCATTACAATCGTGTAAGGACAGGCATTAAAACAACAGACAGATACTGTAACTGTATTTTATAAAGCGATACAAAATAAACGAAACTAAAAGTTGCTGAGAAGAGCTACTGGTGGAGGAATATCCGAGATTGGGAGGGGGACAGCTTAGGGTTTTTATATAAACAAATTCTCATAAACTAAAAATTCTCAAAAAGATAAACACAATATAATCATACACAACGAGCTATCACGCTTTCGCATCACATAGCACATTTCATATACTTGGCCAACTAAATAGACTGACAGTGAGCTATAGTGGATATGAACACACATTCCTAATGTAGTTTACAATTTGCTTCCAATTTAGAATAATTATAATTATATACAGGGAGAATCTTAAATAAGTACAAATATTTTCAGGGCCGGTAGATCTCGATAAAAGAAACACGTGTTTTCTCTTTATCGTTTTTCCAATAAGCCCAAAATAAATCGAGTTATATTACTTACTAAAAATAAAAAAAATATGTATTTTATGCCCATGTTTTGAGAACCACTGCTTTTTTTTCTGGGTTTTCTTTTTTGTAAACATAATCTACTACCTATATGTTGCCATAATATTAAGATATTATATATTTTAACTAAAAATTAAAAAAATTCAATTTTTCTCGAAAAATACCAAATTAAAAAAAAAAGAAAAAGCGAAAGAAATCTTATAGACGTGTTTCTGCGATCGAAATATACCACCCCTAAAATATTTGTACTAATTTAAGACTCACCTTGTATAAATCTATGAACTCTCTAAACACTTTTAGAGCCCCCACAAACGCGCAGTTATTTATTTTTATTATTAAACACAGGCCGATTGTGCAGGCCAGTGTGCGCAGTTTAACCTGTATTACAGCCTGTCGCACACACGCGCAATTTTATAGTACAGTTTTATAATCTGTATTACAACCTGTCCTTATCTGTTATCCTTGTTTATATATACAAGGGTTTTATCTATAATGAACTGAGTTACGGAGTCACTTCGGCACATTTTTTCTAAGGAAAAATGGCCTCCCGAAATACACATCTGTCTTGGATTTTATTCGCTTATACAATAAGTAAGAAAGCAGAAAAACAACGGTTACTTAAAGGAAATAAGTATTGCCACGTTAATTGGCTTGCTGATTTAACAGTTGAAAAACAGGATTGGTTTAACTACCTAAGAATGCAATGAATGAGGAAACTTCCTTAGAACTACTGAAATTAACGTCTGGAATTGGGAATTGGGCTGGATGAGATGCGAGTGTCTTAAAGTTGCTAAACTGATTAGTTTTGATGCTCATGCTCGTGGGTGCTCCGCACCCACTAGTTTTCTCTTGTGGGTGCTTGAGCACCCGAGCACCCACGCAGTCGGCGCCCCTGCGTCTAGGCCAAAGTTTACAGAATAAAATATTCTCGGCGCACTCAGTGATGAGGTGTTCTAGTGTTTCGCCATTTACCATTCATAGAATCTGCCTTCGTCGTTGTTACTTATTAGTTTCAATCTACTGAGGTGGTCATTTAGGAGTGTCTTGTTAAGAATTGTTGTTATTGTTTTTACCGAAATCAAGGAAAATCTTTGATTTTTCTCGGTCGTAAGTCCTATGAAATTTCTTCGAGTGTCTTAGACTATTGGAGGATTCCCATTCCAGGTTACGGATGGAGTCTACTAGGTTCTTGAGTTCCGCTTTAAGTTGGTTTTCACTTTGGAACCAGAACCGTTCTGGTCTACTAAATATTATGAATAGATATTTAATTTCCAATAAATCTATATCTCGATTTAGAAGCTGATTTGCATTGCAAATCATACGAAACTTAAAAAATTATACCTGAAACAGAATAATTCCAATGTGTCCATGCACTTGGTGCATGATCATTTCGAGTGTAATACTCGCGCACAATTACATTTCGAGTTATTACTACTTACTTAGAGTATTTTATTTTTAAGTCCTTAAAAAATAGATCTCGATAAAAAATAAGTACAGGCAAATAATAAAATATATAAAATATTCGAGTACGGTTACATGGCAGAATTCCTTAAATACAATCGTAGTCAGATGGATATCTGGAATTAAGTGGGATTCCTGATATTGATTTCAAAATTATATTATGGATAATATGAATTCACCATCATGTCAAGTGGTTAAAACCCTTATAAATAATTAATACGTCACTTTTTGGAAAGTATGTTTTCCAGTTTTTGAAGTATGAATATTATGCATTCTGAATATTATCTTTATACTAAGTCATATTCATAAATTATGTTTTTTTTTAAGAAAAATACTTCATGGCGGAATAGTTTTTAAGAAAAAGTTAAATTTAGTTGTAAAAAAATAGGTTGGCCATAATAACTTCTAGAAATGCTTTTAAATTAATAACACTTTACTTGACTTTACTATAGAATTTTTAGAAATAATTTTTAAAGTAAATAGTTACGTTTGATTGAGTGTTCTTAAAAAACATAAAATGAAAACAGTAAACTAAGGAAAATGGAAGATAAGAAGTAGATATATAAAGGGTTAAAATAATCAAAAACATAGTCTAAAGATCAAACAAATAATTATGATAATCATCACCTATTAATATATTAACTGTTTTACACCTGCATATCATCCCATAACCTGTTATCAGACCCTCTTTGCATGAATTTCCACTAGAAATCTAGGCAATCTTTGTTAATCTTGTTTTTTTCTAAGACCTATTTATTTTTGTAATCACTTCAGTGGTGACTCGTCTTCATTTATTGGTAAAAAAATCTGCAGCAAAATATCGTATGTCGATGTCATTTTACATCTAAATTTAAATGGCAAATGACATCGATCGTCATTTCCCAGCTAACTAAACGCCGTTTTTTCGGTCATACATATGTCTCTGACAGTATCATACATTAATAAGGTTAAAATAATATATTTTTTTTCAAACGCAAAAAAAGCACTTTTACGCCTAAGCACAAAAATTCGAAAATATATTATTATTATACTGATATTAACTGTCAAATTCAAGGAGTTGTAACCATAGCTTTTCAATAGTAATTACTTACAAGGTATTACTTTTTATATTATTTTCGACGTTTAAAATGGTTTAAAATTGTTAAAAACTTATTTGTGCCGTTTGAAAAAAAAATAGAATATTCTATACGAAGTAAAAATACTAAGTATGATATACTTTTTGTGTATCATTTGTACTCCTAGTAAACCAATATACACTATTACTAAATGTTACACAAACAAGAATAATTTTTAAAAACATCAAAACGTATGGATTTCAATAAAAAAAAACAACAAATCAACGAAAATAAATCATAGGACTAATAAGGATCTTCTATAGGATATAAAATAGAGTGTTCTTATATGTTAAATTATAAGGTGAAATAATTTCTACAATTGCTTACTACATATTTTGTACGTAGAAACTACTGAACAAATACACATTTCAGAAATTGCTAAAACTGAGATAGCTATGGACCCGAATTGAATTAAATTTTTTTGTCGAATCTAATTTCATTCTTTATAGAATTCTTTATATCAAAGAAGGTGCTCAGAGGCTGGTTAAAAAGTTCATGATAAAATTCAGTAAAATAATTTACTTAATAATTAGAAAATTTATACCAAAATCTGATGAAAACGTACGTACTATTATTTGAGGATGACTAGAATTTTTTCTTTTTGTGCTGCAAACACAGTACAGCTGCAGTGCCATCAATATATTACTAAAATTAAATTAATTTTGTATTTGATACAAATAAAAAATTGTTTATTTATTCTTTACTTTTTTAATGCAGCTTGACTATCTTTGCGACGTCACTGTATCACGCCGCAAGTTAATGAATGGCTAGGTGATTTGCTAACAGATGTTCGTGAAGTACGAATGTAAAAACGCGTCACATCGCGATAAGATCTATAACAATCTGTTTAAAAATATTCGTCAGTCATAAAAATTTCAAGTCGAAAAGTTCCGTACATTAGCACTTGAATTTGATAATCTTTAAAAAACCGTTTAAGACATACTTAAGCCGATAAAAGATCGTTTCTGTGTTAGAACACGAAAAATGCGACTACCTAACGGTTCGGGTGCTTGCTACCACTTTATTTTACGTAGTTTGGGTAAATTTTCTCTATCAAAATTTATTCTAAAGAATCCTTAACTAATATTCGTCTTTTTTTTCTTGTTGCAGAATCCAAAATGTCCAGTTCAATGCACGAAGACACCGGATTTTGTTCTGGAGAGGACTACATGGAACACGACATCCATTCTCCAACTGACAGCAGTGAGGACAGCGTTGAAGTGAAGATCTCCGCCATCACTATCAAGTCCAACAAGAGAAAACTACCTGAAGACCCGAAGAAAGACACTGCTTTCTCCGGACCACTGAAGAAAAGAATGATTTTGAAGGTGAAGGCTGAAAAAACCGACATTGTTAACACGCCTTTTCGTCCATGGAGTCCTCCAAACTCTCTCGAGCCCAAGGTGCCTGTTCAGTCCTCAAATTTTGCAGTGCCTTTTCCGTTGAAACTGGAGAATTCGAATGAGAGTTCGGAAAAATGTGCGGTGAATCATTCGTACTTTCGACCGCCTTCTCCATTGCGTTATGCTCAACAATCCGAACCCGTAGCTCTTGTGATAAAACGTGAACCTGAAGACAGGTCCAGTACAAAACCTAGTGATATGCGTGTTCCGGTCCATCCGGAGATCTCAAAATTGACGCCTGCCGAAACCGAGAGGCTTATATTGAATAGCACTGAACATTTCCCAGACTTGCAAGCGAAACTACTCAGTCCATCCTCGTCTTCCAGTGCCACCAACCAAAAGTCCGATCAAAAACGGGAGCAAAGGAACTACAAGAACATGACAAGAGAGAGGCGGATAGAGGCGAACGCTCGCGAGAGGACGCGAGTGCATACGATTTCTGCCGCGTTTGACACCTTGCGTCGTGCCGTACCTGCCTACTCGCACAATCAAAAACTGTCAAAGTTGTCGGTGTTGAGGATCGCGTGTTCCTACATAATGACATTGTCCAGTCTAGTTCAGGACTCGGAAGGAGAACCCTCTACTTCTGAGTGCGTCGATTTAGTATCTAGAACCATTCAACGAGAGGGAAAACTACGAAAAAAGAAGGATGATAATGATTAAAGTGTGTTATTGTATATTAAAAGACTTTAGCCGTAGCCTCGCCTCGAGATAGCAACAGATGTTCCTGATTCTAGATCTATTTTCGTAAATTTTAGTCATCGATATTGTAGTTCATTGATTAATGTTTTTTTTTTTTAAAATGGAAACAAAAAATTTCGTATTTCTGTTTATACTTTTTTTAATTGTGAATATTTTTTATTATTGTGTAAGTAGACTGCTGAAAAGACTTTATTTAAATATTTTAAATTAAATCAATTTAATTTTTTCCTATTGAAAAGTGTTTTATTTTACCCTATTAATGTGAATTTTTCATTTTAACGAATTTTGAGACTAAAACTCCTTATGGCTTAATAAAATTATTTCTTTCAGTTTTTTAGTCTTTAAAGTTTTTTTTTAATTACATGATTGGTTTTGTTTCTTCCTACTCAGATAAAAAATAAATAGTAATAATATATTATTATATGCTAAATAAAATTTAGAAATTTTTTATGGTGCTACGCCACTGGTGTAAGCATAAGTACAATTATTACGAAGTTAATTATATTAATTTTTAATTGATAAAAAGTAAATATGATAACAAAATATAATGCCGTATGAAAAAAAACGGTGTCAATCTCTAGATGTCATTTATTAAAAATTGACATAAATCTTATCTAATAAATTCATTTAAAAATGATAAAAAATGTAAGATATCTTGAGCCCTTTCATCTAAGTAACTTTTGTGCTCAACAAATACAGTATCAAAAAAACAGTGTTATGGGGAATGACAACCGGTGAAAATTTCGTCGAGGTCAATCTCTATTGCAGTTGGGGTTGGGACCTTTAATGTTACAACGGCAAAATAAAACATTAATTAACCACACTACACCAAAACACTAGTTTTAATCATCTGCTAATGATGCCAACATGGTAAACGAAACGCACGTTCAGTGCACAAAAAGTGTTTTGGTGTATTGTGGTGAATTAGTGTTTTATTTTGCTGAGGTCCATCTCTACACATAATTTACTATAAACTGACATAAAAATTGTCAAAAATTAACATTAATTATAGAAAGATTAGAAAAGGATAGAAGATTTCCAGCAGGGCTGTTAGGTAGTTTATGCAGCAAAAAACTACGCCAAAAACTACGCGTAGTTTTTTGTATTAACAACGTTTTAAAATTTTAAAAACTACCTTCGACAACTACGTTAAAAACTACCTACAAAAATATAGTAAAACATAAACAATTTAGACTTTAAACAAAAATCAAGCCAAATTCTTATCATGGAAGTATGAAGTTATATTATATTTGTATAAGTTAAACAACATCAGAAAAAAAGACAATTTTTTTTCAACAAAAGTGTACCTACCTATTTTCTACGAAATACAAAGTAACATTGAACACAAAATAAACTATAAATTCTTATGGAGAAATTCTCCATAAACATTCTCCAGGAGAATATATGATTTTTTACATCTAAAGGCACAACTTCATAATTCCCCTCTTCCCAGAAGGTATGGGCAAGGTATGGAGACATCGACGTCTTCCAAGCATTTTTAACTACTAAGTATCAAAAATATCACATAATAAGGAACAAATTCACAAAATGTAGATTTTTTATTTCTTTAAATTGATCAACAAACAAAGTGTTTAGGTTATATTTTCACTGTTATTTAAAAAAACTACATTAGTTACATAAACAACACATTTACTACTTGACATTTAAAAAACTACTTGTGACATGTAGTAAATGTAGTTTATTAATTACTACGTGTAGTTTAACAACTCTTGTTTTTTAGTCATAAATCTATTTCCAAAAAATTATTTTGGTTAGGTTAGCCGAAGACCCGAGAAGAGTCATCGATATTGTAGTTCATTGATTAATGTTTTAAAAAAAATGGAAGTTGAAAAAATTTCTTATTTCTGTTTAGACTTTTTTAATTGTGAATATTTTTATTATTGTGTAAGTAGACTGCTAAAAGACTTTATTTAAATATTTTAAATTAAATCAATTTAATTTTTTCCTATTAAAAAGTGTTTTATTTTACCCTATTAATGTGAATTTTTCATTTTAACGAATTTTGAGATTAGCTCCTTATGGCTTAATAAAATTATTTCTTTCAATTTTTTAGTCTTTAAAGTTTTTTTTTAATTACATTATTGGTTTAGTTTCTTCCTACTCAGATAAAAAACAAATAGCCCCGATAAATGGCGCTACGCCACTGGAGTAAGCAATAAATACAATTATTACGAAGTTAATTATATTAATTTTTAATTGATAAAAAGTAAATATGATAACAAAATATAATGCCGTATGAAAAAAAAACGGTGTCAATCTCTAGATGTCATTTATTAAAAATTGACATAAATCTTATCTAATAAATTCATTTAAAAATGATAAAAAATGTAAGATATCTTGAGCCCTTTCATCTAAGTAACTTTTGTGCTCAACAAATACAGTATCAAAAAAACAGTGTTATGGGGAATGACAACCGGTGAAAATTTCGTCGAGGTCAATCTCTATTGCAGTTGGGGGTTGGGACCTTTAATGTTACAACGGCAAAATAAAACATTAATTAACCACACTACACCAAAACACTAGTTTTAATCATCTGCTAATGATGCCAACATGGTAAACGAAACGCACGTTCAGTGCACAAAAAAGTGTTTTGGTGTATTGTGGTGAATTAGTGTTTTATTTTGCTGAGGTCCATCTCTACACATAATTTACTATAAACTGACATAAAAATTGTCAAAAATTAACATTAATTATAGAAAGATTAGAAAAGGATAGAAGATTTCCAGCAGGGCTGTTAGGTAGTTTATGCAGCAAAAAACTACGCCAAAAACTACGCGTAGTTTTTTGTATTAACAACGTTTTAAAATTTTAAAAACTACCTTCAAAAACTACCTACAAAAATATAGTAAAACATAAACAATTTAGACTTTAAACAAAAATCAAGCCAAATTCTTATCATGGAAGTATGAAGTTATATTATATTTGTATAAGTTAAACAACATCAGAAAAAAAGACAATTTTTTTTCAACAAAAGTGTACCTACCTATTTTCTACGAAATACAAAGTAACATTGAACACAAAATAAACTATAAATTCTTATGGAGAAATTCTCCATAAACATTCTCCAGGAGAATATATGATTTTTTACATCTAAAGGCACAACTTCATAATTCCCCTCTTCCCAGAAGGTATGGGCAAGGTATGGAGACATCGACGTCTTCCAAGCATTTTTAACTTCTAAGTATCAAAAATATCACATAATAAGGAACAAATTCACAAAATGTAGATTTTTTATTTCTTTAAATTGATCAACTAACAAAGTGTTTAGGTTATATTTTCACTGTTATTTAAAAAAACTACATTAGTTACATAAACAACACATTTACTACTTGACATTTAAAAAACTACTTGTGACATGTAGTAAATGTAGTTTAACAACTCTTGTTTTTTAGTCATAAATCTATTTCCAAAAAATTATTTTGGTTAGGTTAGCCGAAGACCCGAGAAGAGTCATCGATATTGTAGTTCATTGATTAATGTTTTAAAAAAAATGGAAGTTGAAAAAATTTCTTATTTCTGTTTAGACTTTTTTTAATTGTGAATATTTTTTATTATTGTGTAAGTAGACTGCTGAAAAGACTTTATTTAAATATTTTAAATTAAATCAATTTAATTTTTTCCTATTAAAAAGTGTTTTATTTTACCCTATTAATGTGAATTTTTCATTTTAACGAATTTTGAGATTAGCTCCTTATGGCTTAATAAAATTATTTCTTTCAATTTTTTAGTCTTTAAAGTTTTTTTTTAATTTCATTATTGGTTTAGTTTCTTCCTACTCAGATAAAAAACAAATAGCCCCGATAAATGGCGCTACGCCACTGGAGTAAGCAATAAATACAATTATTACGAAGTTAATTATATTAATTTTTAATTGATAAAAAGTAAATATGATAACACAATATAATACCGTATGAAAAGAAAAACGGTGTCAATCTCTAGATGTCATTTATTAAAAATTGACATAAATCTTATCTAATAAGTTCATTTAAAAATGATAAAAAATGTAAGATATCTTAAGCCCTTTCATCTAAGTAACTGTTGTGCTCAACAAACACAGTATGATCCAAAAAAAAACAGTGTTAAATACAGCTGGGGAATGACAACCGGTGATAATTTTGGCGAGGTCAATCTCTATTGCAGTTGGGAGTTGGAATCTTTGATGTTACAACGGCAAAATAAAACACTAATTAACCACAACACACCAAAACACTAGTTTTAATCATCTGCTGATGATGCCAACATGATTAGCGAAACGCGCGTTCAGTGCAAAAGTAAAGTGTTTTGGTGTATTGTGGTGAATTAGTGTTTTATTTTGCTGAAGTCCATATTTTTCTAGAGTTTTAAACTACACCATTTAAAAATACTGATTCAATAAAGTTTATAATAAAATTTTGACTCAATATTAAAATAAACTAGAACCATCTTAAAGCCAACTGGCAGTAAGCGCCATTAAAAAAATAAAGAGTACTATATCCAGCCGTCCTTAACGCCGTTTTTTTTCGATCGTTTGGTATTTTACTGCAAAGTAGATACATAAATGAATATAAGAAAGGAAAATTAAAAATATATTAAAAACTGGGTGTTTTAGCATGAAAAATTTGATTTTGATGTCAATATATGACTCCTTCTTGTAGACGTCGTAAAATCTGTAAAATTCTTAGGGCTTGTTGTAGACAATTCTCTGAAATGGGATATGCATATCGAAGTTTTGTCGAAAAAATTGAGCTCTGCCTGTTTTACATTAAGATCTGTTTCTAAGGAGCTTAACTTGTCAGTGGCTAGAACTGTTGCACTTTTTGAGTCGCACCTCAGGTATGCCCTTCCATTCTGAGGTACGTGTTGTGCGACTCAATTTGACCGCATTTTCAAGCTCCAGAAGAGAGCTGTTCGATATTCACTGGGACTAAACAGCAGAACTCATTGCCAGGACTTTTTTAAAAAATTAAAAATATTAACTCTTTCTTCCGTATTTATATTTGAATCCGTTTGCCTAATACGTATGCATATATATCAGCTTCTCAAGAAAGGCCATCTCACACTTATCCACTCAGGAACGCGGAGCAAGATCTTTAT